TGGCTGCTTATGCAGGCTTAATGAATCCTGGATAATACAAGTTATATGACGTTTTCTTTCATAGGTCCATTATGTAGTTTGCTGTATGACTGGTCTCATTTCAGATAGATAGTCAAGTTATAGATCTGTCATTCCCATGGAAAGTGAGTCTGATAAATAGTTGACCTGCTCTATGTGCATTATGGTTTATTTTTAACTTAAGCTTCAAACACCTGAATATTTTTTGGTTATTGAAAATATATTTTACAGCGGTTTAGATGGTACAACGATTATCTACACTCTCCATTGCTTGTTTTGTCACATCAACTGAAATCAATAGAATCTTAAAAACCAATGGACATGGAACCAGGAAATGGCAGAGCTAAATTAGACAAACAGTATAACGCCTTCTGGAGAGAATATTTATGTGTTGCTCAGTTTACTAAACTCTAGTTAAGTAATTACCTCCTTATAAAGTTTCAAATTAAATCACACTGTGAGATTATGAGGTTTATGGTATTGTTGGCACTTTGCACAATCCTTTTGCACTACGATTATGTAAAAACCTACTACAAACCTCCGCTAACATTAGCCACCGCTAGCTAAGAATCATCGGGAGTGGTGGGACATGCTGTGTCTGATGAAAAAAAGAAGGCTAAATCACCCTCTCCTCCTCTCCTCTCCTCTCCTCTCCTCTCCTCTCCTCTCCTCTCCTCTCCTCTCATATTTTTGCATTTTCAACGGTCTTAAGGGTGCTGGAAATTATTGTCTTGTAAATGCAAAGACCACGACACGCTGGGAAAAAAAACCAAGTAGATTCTTTAAATTGATTGTAAAATGAGGTTACAAACATCAACAGAAGACAGTGTAATACATGTGCTCAATTACATGGTTAGCGTTCCAAATCAGACCCTCCTCTCTTTATAGTGCACTACTTTTGACCACAGTCATATGGGCCCTGTTCAAAGGTAGTGCACTATATCATAGGGGATAGGGAGCCATTTGTGACATGGCCTTGGTAGGCCCCTAAGGGGTGAAGTGGCCCATCACTGATGCAGTGGTTTGGGGTGAATACAGTTCAGAATGAGCCAATAGACAGACAGCAGGGTTGGCAGTTAATGCAAATGAAAGTTTAAAATTCCAGCGCTAGCTAGCTAAAGTTATACTGAATCTAAAGTCTATCTGGTGACATCACAATGATGATGAAACGTTTTCCTACTCATTATTTGACTCCTTCTGAAATGTCATCGTGTTTCCAAGCCACTATAATGCACTTTAGACTAAGTCTTCATCAGCACCAATTAGGTAGAATTAAGTACAACATTCAGTTAGACACCAGTGCTCAAGATCATCTCCACAACCATATTGTGACCCAACATGCAACACATGAATTTGATAAACAAGTTGTTCAATTTTTTTATTTTAAATATAAATGACTACCTTCACTTTGAATTGAACCCAACCCTGTCAAACAGGTAGCTATCGGACAGGTCCAGCAGGTGTTGGGCTGGACAGAAAGAGATAGAGGGAAGGGTCTGACTGGACTGGTCCTTAAAAGGGAGAGGAGGGAGAGGTAGAACTCAACTCACAGGCAGGATTTCAGAAAGTGAGATTTCAACATCTGTTCATCTAATACTGTTTGTGTCTGCATCCCAAATATCACTCTATTCCCTATGTAGTGCTCTACTTTTGACCAGAGCCCATAGTGAATATGTGGCCCTGGACAAATGTAGGGAACTAGTTTTGAATGATCGTGCCAATTCCACAAACTCCCAATTACCCTCTGGACACGCCCCTCTCCTGCTAACTCACCACACCTGAACTCACTCTGCCAATCACCAATTCCTCTCCCATTCTTCTGGTATATAAGCAACTCACAGGCAGGACAGAGATAGAGAGAGACCCAGTGAAGACCTTTGAAGATCTCTGAAGAAGTGAAGCTACAACTGAAGATTTGTGAAGGTGAGATCTTAACATCTGTGCATTTAAAACTGTATCTGTCTGCATTCCAAATAGCACCCTTTTCCTTTTGTAGTGTGCTTCTTTTGACCAGGGCCCATATTACCTTTGTGGCCGTGGACTATTCCCTATGTAGTGTACTGGGGACCCTGGTCAAAGTTAGTGCACTACATAGGGAATAAGGTAACATTTGAAAGCATACATATTCCTGTGTACTAGGTTAATCTATTGTATGTGGTGAAAGATGATACCAGGTATTCCTTAGCCCTTCATTGGTAAAATCTAATGTGATAGTACATCCGATAAGTGGAATGGCTGAGGGTACTTGAGGAAAGGTTAGGGGAACACTGCACTGCATTTCAGTCATTTAGCAGACGCTCTTATCCAGAGCGACTTACAGTTAGTGAGTGCATACATTTTTCATACTGGCCCCCCGTGGGAATTGAACCCACAACCCTGGCATTGCAAGCGCCATGTTCTACCAACTGAGCTACAGGAGGCCCTACACTCTGAAGTATTCACTGAATTGGTCTTGACTGATTCTCTCTCTCGCTCTCTTTGTCTGTTTGTGTGTCTCTCCCTCTCTCAGGAGACTATCACCATGGCCATGTTGACCATTCTTCTGCTACTCAGCGCTGCCTTTGCTTTGGGAGACATAAGTACGAGAGTCCACCTCAAACTTTACATTATTCATTCTTTCTGTATTTTAAATGTAGCAGAGGTGTGTGTTGACTGATATAAAAATAATATTGAGTAATTATTTATGATGCAAGGTGATTTGTCAGTCTCTCCTTTAAAGTCGGTAGTCTTCTCCTTACAGTTGGACTTGGACCATTGAAACCATGTCGCTCAGGCTGGACCGAATATGAATCACACTGCTTCATGTTTATCAAGACAGCAAGGACATGGGCAGAAGCAGAGGTACTGTATCATGCTTACCCTCTACTGTGAATTTAAAGGGTGTAGTTCAATTAAAATCAACTCGCTTTCTTGGATTGACGTTAACGTGAAGATGATTTGGCTTCTTTTTTTTAACAGGCACTGCATGCCTCGTGTGAATTACTGAACCTCCCCTTTAAGTTATTGTTTAATTGTGATGTTCTATAAGTTTGGAATATTTATTTCATGTATGGAGTCAGGACACCTGTATAATGGAACCCAAAGAACACGGGTCAAGACAGACATAAACTAACACCTCTAAGAGCCTGTTGAAAAGAGCATTAGTTGCGACGGACAATATTTGATAGTGTGAGTCCAGAAAACAAATTCTCACAAAGACTGGACAACTTGACTAATACTTACATTATGAAACGCTTTTGTCCCTCTCTGCTGCTTTCTCTAGCGGCATTGTATTTCCCTTGGAGCAAACCTGGCGTCTGTGCATAGCTCTGAGGAGGCGCAATTTCTACATGAGGTGGTGTTTTCAGAGACTGGCAAATTCACTCCTACCTGGATTGGAGGGTTTGAAGATCCTAAAGAAATACTGGGCAAGGTACCCAATTATCATACTTGAGTCACAGCTAAGATACCTTAATAGAAAATGACTCAAGTAAAAGTGAAAGTCACCCAGTAGAATTCTACACATGGTAGGATTAAAAGTAACCAAAACAGTGGTTTTCCAAACCTGCATCGAGTTTCTGGCCAGAGGGAGGGAGTTTTCTTGTTCCCCACGTCTCCGCGAATCTGTGTTTGAAGATGTCATCGGGTATAACTTTTTAGCTTCCTATTTTTTTCTACAAAACGTAGACATGCGCTGTTTTCACACATGTTGACATATGTACCATGTAGAAATTCAGAATTTGTATTTAGTGAGTCCGCCAGCTCAGAAGCCGTAGGAATGACGGCGCATTCTCTTGATACAGTCGCTAGTGAACGTCTACACACCCCTTGCACAGTCTTCACATTTTGCTGCCTTAAATTTAAATCTAAAAAGAGATTACATTGGATTTCTTTCCTACCCATCTACATGATCAAATTTAAAAAATATATTATACAACATTTTCTAAATCAATAATTTATATATATTTTTCATTGATTGCATGTCTTCACACCCCAGAGTTAATACTTAATGGAAGCACATATTGTAGGATAGATCAGTATTTACTAACACACGGGGTATAGTGGGCTAGTATTGTAAGATAGATCAGTATTCACTAACACAGTGGGTTTTAGTGGAATAGTATTGTAGGATAGACCAGTATTTACTAACACACGGGGTATAGTGGGCTAGTATTGTAGGAAAGATCAGTATTTACTAACACACGGGGTATAGTGGGCTAGTATTGTAGAATAGATGGATCAGTATTTACTAACACACAGGGTATAGTGGGCTAGTATTGTAGGATAGATAGATCAGTATTCACTAACATAGTGGAATAGTATTGTATCTAGAACCTAAGAAAAAAGTTATTTGGCTGTCTCCAGAGGAGAACCCTTTGAATAACCTTTTTCCAAAAGGGTTCTACCTGGAACCAAAAAGGGTTCTCCTATGGGGACAGCAAGGGAACACTTTTGGAAACCCATTTTCTAAGAGTGTAGATAGCTCAGTATCCACTAACACAGTGGGATTTCTTTCATTCTGAGACCTCACTTCTTCCCCACAGGACAGGCTATGGTTCTGGAGTGATGGGTCCAAGTTTGATTACCAGAACTGGAATCAAGGAGAGCCCAATAACAGTGGTGGCAGAGAGCCATGTATTGTGATGAACTTTGGAGGTACAGTAAGCCCACTATCATTCACTATCCAGTCATCAAATTAAACTTTATTCACAGCCCACTTCAACAAATAAGTCTGATACACGCACTACATCTGAGTTAATTTCTGTTCCGTGTTTCCTCTGAAGGTGAACACGGCTGGAACGATCTAGCATGTGGAAACAGATTGCCCTCGGTGTGCTTCCGGAGAACCTTTTTAAAATAGCAAAACATCAGATGAAACCAAAAATGCTACTCCATACTGTCAGCATCCTAACTGAACTTGTGATGGTAAAGTCAAATACTTTGTGGAGATTATTTGTTGCTGTAAAATGAGTATTAGTTATTTGTTGGTCATAAATGTTGAGTAATGATTTTGTGGTTTGTTGTCAATAAAACAGGTGTACACATTATTTTGTCTCATGAGTTGTTTTTAAACTGCCATAATTGTCCAATCCTTTAATTGTCCAATCCTTTGAGAGAATAAATGTATTTTATAACCCAAAAGGTTTTATTACTCCACAAACAACATGAATATTAACCTCTATGGGATAGGTGCCCCTTATGCGGGACGGTTGAGCTAATGTGATTAGCATGACTGTTATAAGTAACAGCAAACATTCCAGGACATAGACATGTCTTATATGGGCAGAAAGCTTAAATTCTTGTTAATCTAACTGCACTGTCCAATTTACAGTAGCTATTACAGTGAAAAAATAACATGCTATTGTTTGAGCAGAGTGCACAACAACAAAACTTATCACGGCAACTGGTTTGATACATTCACCTCTGAAGGTAAATAATGTACTTACATTCAGTAATCTTGCTCTGATTTGTCATCCTAAGGGTCCTTGAGATAAAATGTAGCATAGTTTTGTTTAAAATAAATTTTTATATTCAAATATAGGAACTGGCTTCTACAGTTTGAACCCCTGCTGTCTCTGGCTCCACACCCACCCCGCCCGGCCATCTAGATGTGTGAAAGTTAGTGTATAAGCTAATGATCCATCATGTATGACATTCCTGGGAGTGTGTAAACTTACATTTTGTATTACCATATCATTTTTGTATGTTCTCTATAGGTATGTACTTGAAAATGTATCAATTGACCAATTCAGCAGACTTTATACAAAATAGTCCAGTATTGCAACGCTTCACTGGATCAATCTGAAACTTTGCACACACACTGCCGCCATCTAGTGGCCAAAATCTAAATAGCGCCTAAACTGCAATATTATATTGATCGAACAAAATGTTTGTATTATCTTTTATCAGATCTAATGTGTTATATTCTCCTACATTAATTTCACATTCCCACAAACTTCAAAGTATTTCCTTTAAATTGGTATCAAGAATATGCATATGCTTGCTTCATGTCCTGAGCTACAGGCAGTTAGATTTGGGTATGTCATTTTAGTGAATCAGACGGTAAGCAAGTATTTCTGAATTTATACCATTTCATGCCATAATTTAACTGAAAGCAACGGTGAAACCATTGGAAAGGAATTTTACACCAGTTTGTCAAACCAAATGTGGGCCTATGTGACTGTGAATGAGTCCTCACCTGAATTCCTAGTTTATTCAGTTTGAAATCCTATTGCTTTTGCAGTAGGCCTATATTGAACAAACTGAAACATCTAAAAAAAATCTGTGCACTGTGACTGTTTTACTTTCAGTATCGTTTTTGTTATTTACAGATCTCCAATCCAGGCAACCCCTCAGGCCTGCCTCTGTGCGTGCCCCCAGGTCCCGTCCAACTGCACGTGTCATCTCCGATGCGGTCTTGGATAACCAGGAGCGGATTGCGCAAAGTCTCTGTGAAATCGCTTCTACTCTGGCCACAATATAAGAAACACTCAAAGACATAAACACACATTAAAAAATATAAAGATCGCGCACTGAAACCTGTGTCATTTCATGTGTGTTTAATTTGTGGTATTTAAAGGACAAAACAAATCAAAAACGAGAAATTATTTGTTGTCTGACTTCCACGCCAAGTCGGTTGTCTGGTCCCAGCAATGGGTCAGGACGCACATCCTGGTGGCTGAAGTGGAACACCACGCTTCATAGCGATGTTGTGTAACACACAACAGGCCATGATTATTCTGCAAACCTACAAATGGTGTAAAGCTGATGAAAAGCTAGAAAAACTAAATGAAATGAATTGTTGGAATTAGATTATTCTACAACATGTTCTCCATTTTTCAAACCTGAATGAAACAAGTAGTAAATGTCCCCCAGTCCCCATCGTAACAGATGATGCTTTGTCATACATTGAATATACTCCCACCATTGCTCTGTAGCACAGTGGTAGCCCTAGTTCTACTTCTGAATAGGCAGTAGAGTAGTAGGAAATAGGTTGAGGATTCGTCCCTGTACCTGTCGGCTGACAAAGAACTGCACATGCATATTTACCTCCAGTAGAAGTAGACACATATAGCAATAAATTCTTAGAGTAGTCTGGTAGTGTGAGTGCTGGTGCCTCTTGTAACCTCTGTTTGATTGTTTAAAACGCTACAAGGCCTTCCTGTGTCCAGGAAAGATTGCTATGGAGTTGACCATTCCCAGTATCTTTAACCATAGCTCTCAGAGGTCCCGTCAAACTAGCATAGCCCTCAACCCAGGCTGAAGAATAACCAGCAATACCAAGAAATGTCATCATCTCTCTGACAGTTCTAAGCTTCGGAGCCTTACGAATAGCTTCCAATTGACTGTCAGAAATGCTTCTGTGTCCATGCGTTCTTTTCTGACCCAAATAAACGACCTTCTCCTGGCAATATTGCAACTTTTTCTGTGAAACTTTATGCCCCTTTTCTGCCAATATCTGTAGCAATTTAATTGAGTCTTTATGACATGTTTCCTCATTCTGTGAACAGATAATTATATCATCCACGTACTGAATGACAGTGCTTTGCAATATCTGATCTATCCCTATCAAATCGTCCTTCAGTACTTTATTGAAAAGGTGAGGACTATGTTTGAACCCTTGTGGCAATCTCCTGTACTCATAGAACTGTCCATTATATGTGAACCCAAATAAACCCTGACTTTCTACAGTAAGTGGAACACTAAAAAATGCACCATATAAATCTAACACCGTGAAATGTGTCGCATCAGGAGGAATTTGGGCTAACAAGGTATGCGGGTCTGGCACTTCTGCTGGAAAATCAGTTACTACTTCATTCACTGCTCTCAAATCATGAACCATACGATAAGTCTCATCGGGTTTCTTCACAGGCAACAAAGGCATGTTACTCTGAGGATTTTTTATTGTCTTCAAAACACCTGCTTTCGAAAGTCCTTCAATTTGTGGTTCGATCCCTTGGATTGCTTCATCTTTCAATGGATACTGATTCTTCCAAGGAGGTCTGGCTCCTGTTCGAAGTTCAACTTTCACCGGTTGGGCTGATTTCACAAGTCCAATATCGGTACTGTGTTGAGACCACAAACATTCTGGAACTTGTTGCAACATCTCCTCTTTCATAGGGTCTGAATCCATCTTCACACTGCAAATAGATTCATGTGTCATCCGTACAGCTTGTGGCTGTCCTTGTCCTTGAGCCGAAATCATGATTTTGAGAAATCGCTGATCTTCACTCCTCCAAATCGCCAAATTCTCTTTCATCGGTACCAAAACAGCTTTCTCTGCTTCTGTCATCATTTCTCCTATTTGCTTTTGCTCATAGCCTTCAGAAACCAACAAGGTCACATGTGGCACACTCTTCTCAATCTCAAATTCTTTATCCAGATAATCGTCTGTGTTTATCTTCATAGATGCTCCTTGTGGTCCTAAAATTATGCAACATGAGCTGAGTTGAACTTTCTTTGGTTGATGACTCAACCATTCCTCTGAGTTCGATTGGGCAGTATTCTTGAAATACTTGAGCGTACAATGAAATGGATATTCCGGAAGCCTCGCATCTGGCATGTTTGCCACAATACATTTCTCCCATATCTTAGCCGGCTTCAAAAAATCTGCACTGAGATTTCCAATCCCAAATACTGAAGAAGAGTCAATCTCTGTCGTCATCAACAATTGGTAAACCGTTTCTTTTGGCACTTCTACCAGACAGCCGTCTGGCGTACATTTTATTGTACAATTCAATCTACACAATGCATCTCTTCCCAACAATGCAATAGGTGTATATTCCAATACCAGTATGGGTATTGTAGTTTTCTGATTTTTATAGCAGAGCTCAATTGGTTCCGTAAGAGGAATCAGCTGTTTCACTCCCTCAAACCCGATTGTCCGAATCAGTTGATTGGACATTGGGAGATGTGTAGCATCTACAGGCCGAACACAGGTGAAAGCAGCTCCGCTATCCGCCATCACTTCCAATGGACGGTTGTTTACTTTCACCTCAATTGTTGGATCTTTTTCCGGTCCTGATGCTACCAGCTGACACCCCCCTTTCGGATCTTCTGGGCACCTCTAGAATCCTGGCTCCGGGCCCCTATAAGGGTTCAACGGTCAAATGATCTTGACTGGCCCCTGTATCTTCCTCTGAAATTTACTCTGGTGTTTCCTCCTGGCCCATTACACTCACGGGCAAAGTGACCAACCTGTCCACAATTATAACACACTTCTGAAGATTGCTGGAAGTATGGATTAAATATTCCTCCTCTTCCTCTTCCTAAGCTTTCTCGTCCTCTTCCTCTCCAATTCTGTGTCTGTCCGGAAACTGGCTGTGGATATGAAACAACTGGTCTTACTAGTGGTGTCTGGGACAATTGCGGTTGGACCTGGTTCGGTTGAAGCTGTGGCAGTGATTGTTGATTTGGTGAACACTGATTCTGCATAACCAAAGCTTGTTTCTTCTCCTTTTTATTCTCCACCAGCTGTGTTTGATTTAGTTTTCTGAGAGTTTCTTGGTCCTGTTCTTTCTGGTTGTGTTCCTTTTTCCTGTATAGATCCACTTGATGGGCTATATGATCTGTATAGATACCTTTTGCCATGCTTCCAAGTCCAACCACCTCTGCCAGTTTGCTCCTTACTGGTGAGGGCAGTCCCATCTGCAGTTTGGCTCGCAAAATTGACTGCTCTATTTGACTCACATCTGGATCATTTCCAGTAATATTTCTCCACACGTGATGAGCTCTTGACACATAGGCTCTCGGATTTTCTTGTTGTCCTAGTGGGTCAATCAGAATGTTGTCAGGATGCATATTT